AAGGGAATGAAGGAGCTTCTTTGCTCCAAGACCGATGCTCCCCATTGCCCTGCACCCTCGGGGTCAGCCTGGTCCCCTGCCACCTTCCCACTATAAATTAGAGGGATCGTTTCTGCTGGGGAGGTGGTGTGGAAGCAAAGAGCCCTGCAGGGGGGAGGCAGCAGAAGCCAGGGATGGGGCGAGTTGCTCCTGCTGCACCCACCTGTGTAACTGGCCAGGGTTGATTGACTGGCGCTCCAGGATGGCCATGGTGGAAAGAGGATCCCAAAACACTTGCCTGGGAGTTCTCACCAACTAAATGATCTTTTCAGGACCCAAAGGAGCCCAGAGGACAGAGCAGAGGGACGTTAGGGGGCCGGGAGCTGGGAGGAGTGTGCAGATTCTGTTGCTCCGGGTCTTCCTTTGGAGCTGGGGGAAGCATCTCTCTGTCCCTGCAATATGGAGCACGTGGCCGGGTTGGGCTGCACGCCACCCTCTCCACTCCAAACATTTTGTTTCCAAAGAGCCGTTCCCCAAAAGTTGTCTGTCTGTCCTCCCAGATTTACGGCAGTGTCTGTCCAAAGGCCAGTTCCTGCCTAACCACCCGCTCCCGGCTCCGGGGAAACCCTCCTGCCCCTCCGTGCCTGCTCAGCACCCCCACGGCGAGCACCCGTCCCTCCTCCATCACTTCCAGGCCCGCTCCCAAGAGACTCCCTGTCTCCCAGCAGCTTCTGGAGCTGTTTTCCCCCCTGCGCTGCCGCACGCCATGAGTGACACAGTATCTCCAGAGCTTCCAATAAAAAGATTTATCACCGTAGCTTTGGGGATTAAAAAGCAATCCATCTATGAGGCTGCCCCAGCCTTGTAAGGCTTTTTTTGTGTGCTGTAGTTGTTTGCAATAGGCATGGGGTGGGTTTTTTTTTTTCCTTTGCGGAGCCAAACTCAAGTTTTGCAGTGATTGCCTCGTATATTTGGAGCCATGATAGATGGCTCCAGAGTGTCAGCAGATTTTTTTGCAGCCCCTCTTCAATAAGCCAAGGGAAGGGTTGTTTTTTGCTTCCTTTGGACAGCCATGGTACAGGGAAAACTCATACAGCGTAAATTTGGCAAAGCCTTTGCATGCCTGGGAGCAAGCGGTCCCTGGCTGGGGCCGGGCGGTGGGGCTGATTCGGGCTGCGTGGCCGTGGATGATCCTGCTGAGATGTCAGCCTTTGTGAGGGGAGCAGGGAAATGGAAATGTCGGGAAACTGCAGGGAGGTGCCGGGTTTGAGCTCAGCGCTGATTTAGGGTGCTTTTTGAACCACATTTCAATTACTCCTCGTACTCCAGGACAGTGGCGGTGGTGAAAAGCTAACACCTAGTGCCTGCAGACTGGTGAAGGGTAGCATAGAGGTAGGCAGGAGGACAAACGGACAGCGAGAGAAATATATGTAGGGTTTGATTCTGCTCTTCGGGGACACCCGTGGGATCGGTTTTTAGCCGCACACTGAAGGCAGCCCATCTTCCCGCCCAGCTCCTCGGTGGCTTCCCAAAGAGCCAGGACTCACGTAGGAAGCAGCTTTCCAGGCAGCCGGGCGCTGCGGGGAGGTGAGGGGGAGGCTGGGAAGAGGCGGCGTGAGGAGCACAGCCCACCCCAAGGGCCTGGGTGGAGGAGCTCAGCCGCGGCTCTCCGTGCCATGGTACGATGTGACTGTCACCTGCGCTGGGGACGGTCTTCTCCACGTCACAGCAAACCTAACAGCCCTGGAGCCACATGGAGGGAAGGGATGAGCTCCCCGTACCCCACCTCTCCCTGCATTAGGGCATGCAGGGAGGGGACACACTGGGGCTAGATAGGCAAAGGGCATGTCCAAGAAGTGAAGGTCTGTGTGTTATTTAAGGACGTCCCTGCCTGAAATCCCACCGTCCTCATGGCAGAGTGACGGGAAGGACAGAGGTACAATGCACCATGCCCTTACCCACAGCCTAGCAGCAACGTCCAGGGGCAACTTCGGGGGCAAAGTGGCCCATGAAAGCCACCAGGCACCTT